AAGTCAAGTTGAACGTCACCAAATGAAAGTACACATGTGACTTCCTACGTCAGTAACACAGACCTGGGCTCCATCTGTGACCTTTTCAGTGACAGAAGTCATTGAATTTTCTCTAGGTCAAGTTTGACCTTCAAAGGCCAATATGAAGGTCGCCAAATGAAAGTTCATACATGACTTCCTATACGTCTCCAATACAAACCTACACTCAATCTGTAACGATTTTGCTGATATGAGTCATTGAAATTTCACTATGCAAAGTTTGACCTTCGAAGGTCACTGAAGGTCAAGTTCAAGGTCACCCAGTGAAACTTCATGTATGACTTCCTATGCATCTCCAGTACAAACCGAAACTATCTGTTACCATTTTGCTGATATAAGCCATTGAAATTTCACTGTGAAGTTTGGGCATTCAAGGTCACTGAAGGTCAAGTTCAAGGTCACCCAATGAAACTTCATACATGACTTCCTTTATGCCTGCAATACAAACCTAAGCTCTATCTGTTATAGTTTTGGTGTTAGAAGTCATTGAAATTTCACTTTGTGAAGTTTGACCTTTGAAAGTCGCTGAAGGTCAAGTTCAAGGCCACCAAATGAAAGTTCATACATGACTTCCTATCAGTCATGTTGCACATATGTGCCCAATCTTCAATATTTTCAAGCTTAGAAACCTTTGAAAATTGTAACATTTCGCTTGACCTCAATTTTGACCTTTCAAGGTCATCTAAGGTCAACTTTAACACAGCCAAAATATAGGTCATATGTAACTTTCTATATGTCAGTAATACAAACTTAATCTCTATCTGCAACCATTTAGCTTCCACAGGCGCTAATTTTGGCCCATTCTCCATAAGACCCAATGTTAAAGTACTGCGCCCCCCACCAGACCCATTTCCGTCAATTCAATCAAAATGGCACTCGCACTGTACATAAAGTGTATCAAGATGAGTTGATTGCCAGATTAAGAAAAAAAGTTATCAGACAGAGAAATAATTTTTTGAAATTTCAAGTCAATCTTTTAACATTGTTAATATATTCCCTGACCTCGAGTTTGACCTTTGAAAGTCATCTGTGGTCAAATTTAATATTGCCAAAATATAGGTCATATATGACTTTCTATATGTCGATAATACAAACTTAATCTCTATCTGCATCCATTTGGCCTCCACAGGCCATCTTGCATATTCATAAAGTACAGCGCCCCCACTAGACCCACTTCCGTCGATTCAGTCAAAATGGCGCTCGCACTGTACCTTGACGGTACCAAGGTAAGTTGATTGCCTGATTTAGAAAAAAAAATTATCACGCAGTTCTTGAGAAAAATTTTTAAAAAATTTCTCAGTCCTATCTTTAACATTGGGGCCAAAATTTCAAGGGCCCATAAAACGGACAAAAATGATTCAATCAAAAATCCGAGAAAAATGTCTGGAGATATGGTCTAGTAGTATGTTACTACAGATTTACACGAAAATTCATCAGGCCAAAAAAAAAATAAAAAATGTTCCGGACAACGGACAACGGACACCACACCACGACAATAGCTTATCGGCCCATAGGGCCGGTAAGCTAAAATTGTCCCGTCTCTATCCCAACCCTCCGAGTATGTTTGCATGCTGGGACACTTCCCTTCATTGCGAATTAGCATATTGTGTATTTAAAATTCTGTAATGCTTTTCCTCTTTGCTCTGAGCAGTCATATTTACTCAAGTGGATTAATACGTGTTGACATGACAGGAACTAAAAATTTTCTACATTCAAGTGGCCCAAATGTCCACAGAAATGGGGATCTTATAATTCCCAGTAATTATTCACATGATAATTGATTTTCCTGTAGAATATGCCAATAGATGCTTCAGCAAACTAGGCAGGAGAAGGGCCATGTAATGTATTTAAGTTGGGCTATAAAATGTTCACAGGTTAAATCAGGGGATTAAATTCAAATAAGAAATCATGAGTAATTGCTCTAATCTTAGCCTAATAAGTGGCACTTGATTTAGAGATTATTGTAGTGATCTGAATGAAAGTACAGTGCTTTCAGCTGATTTCTCTGGAATTCCAATTTTCTGAGGTTGATGATATTCCCTGTACCTCTCCATGACCTACATCAGATCTGGGAGAAGCAAGGATGCCAGGTACCATCTCATCACTCAGTTTTCCCCCTCTAGTGTCTGTAGCACCTCCAGTTAACTCTCAGGTGGAAGAACGCAGAATCTTTAAGCGATATTGCTGACTAAACATTCTCATGGAGACGTGTGCTCTGTGCGCATAATCTCTGAGTGAAAGGATGGGGCTACGAGTGCTGAAAAAATAAAATGCAGAAGAAAAATGAAGTGAACCATGGCATCCCCAGGGAGTCACTGGTGGCTGAGCCTGCCGAAAATGCTATCCTTGATTCACCTCCATACGAAAAACCAGCTGGGACAAAAGAAAGTTTTCAGGTTGTTTGGAGTACGATTTTAGGATTGGCTGACACCTGGCTCCAGGCTTTTATCAGGGTCAAAAACTTCTGCATGAAATGCTGAACATGAAAAACTTCATCTTAACTGAAAAATGATTCCAGCAGTTTTATTACTCAGCCATAAGCTTCTTTATCGTGCAGTGAAATGACTTGAGCAGAAGAATGTGTTCTCTTAGAGATTGCACTGTGTTTGCTGGCTGAGGGAGAACAAAACTTTGTCTGACTCTTAAGGCCATGAGATGTCTTCTAAAAATGGTTTGCTGCTCAATTGCTGCCTGCAGACCACTAACATCTCCATTATACTACTCTCATAGGTAACATTCAGGCCAGGGCATGCCAGTATGATGCCATATTGGCATTTTTGCCTGAATGTTCAATCAGGAGAACTATTTGTATATGATATGATTTCTTCATATATTAGACCATCCATTTAAGGGGACATATTATGAAGACTTCACTTTTTAAGTGTTAGTGCACATATATTTCGGTATCAGGATTGTATTCCATTCACAAATAAAACAACCAAGTCAGTTTTTTTTTGGGCTGCCTTTTTCATAAGACATGGCATTTGGCATGCTGCTCCGATTTGGCCCCCCTACCTACGTCACCTGTAGGCACGTGAGAATTGTTCTGCCCCCTCATCTGAATATCTTCACCTAGAGCTAATTTTTTTTATGGCTGCATCCCAGCTTCAATTGACAAAAACCTCCACATGCGTGTGATCCACTTTTTATCTGGCTTCTTTATACTGCTGACATAGGCCAGTACAATGCATGACTGCCGAGGAAATGTACAATAAAGGCTTTATTGTACATTTCCTCGGCAGTCATGCATTGTGTACTGGCCTATGTCAGTAGTATTATAAAGGAGACCTATTTGGCTGTTTGGAAGACTTAAATATGTACTGGTCTCGATTTATTTCAAGTAAAATCAGTAGCTAGCTAGGTGGGTAACCAGGGAAGTGTTGCCAATTTCTGTCAATATTTAAACTTAATTCCAAGTGTCCCAAGCTAGCCACTAAATCGTCTGTGAATTTTGAAACCCTCGCTAGTTTAGCCAGAGGTAATGTAGGAGACATGCTGATGGGAACACATAAAACAGATGAATGTTTTTAATGGAGTTCAGTACACTTTTAAAGGGGCAGCGCTGTTGTTCAAAATTAATGGAATGTTAGCTAATGGTTGCGACTAACGCCCACTCAGACCGCCCAGTTTTTAACTTCTGTTAACAATGTGAGGGCATTAGGCCTTAATGGAGTAAATGCTGTACATCTTAAAGCTACAGTATTACCTGCATTTTTTCCCCTGTTAAATTACCCCTTGCAATGTGAGAGTCACCACTTGTAGGTATCTTTCCATAATATAGTTTATAGTCAGCTTGCTGTTATTCCCTGTGTTTGTGTTTCCTAAATTTCAGTGTAGGCTCGACAATAAACTTCTCCAGTGCTCCCTGCATGACAACTCTCAACTCTGTTGCACAGGACTCTATAACAATTTGGCCTTTCGCCCACATGAACGTGGCTTTGCACGACAAAGAAGTGCATGCTGCAGCGAGCTTCGTGGTTGTCTCAGCCTGTGCTCCGAGTATGCATGAAGCAGTTAATGTGCATGGTTTTCCTCTAGTTTAGGAGCACTTTCTGGCCAGTACATAAACTAAGTGAAACAATCTTCAAATCAGACAGATTTAGCAATTGGTAAACAAGTAAAACTTAACTGATGCCAATGTTGTAGTCAGACAACGGTTTTCTTGAATTGTGACTTAGCTAACTACCGCTAGAGTAGATAGTCAGCTAGCTACAGACACAGCTAGCACCAATTTTTTTTTGGATTTTCCCCCTTTTTTTGCATCCTGAACACAGCAAAACTGTTCAGCCCATCGAAAAGCAACCTGCTCCCATCGACTCGAGGAAGATGCCGAGGCACATGATTCCCTCGACTCACATGACAACTAGCCCTCATTTCTGTACACTATGGTGTCACACCTCCAATGACCACACTGCCTATGCTGTCAGAGGTTTAAGTAGTCAGCGTACAATTTAGTTTGGACAGCTACATGCACCTGCCCAACCATAGGTGGTCGCTTCAGGGCGATGAACTAAAATTTTAATCAGCTTAACCCCTGTCATCCCTGGCAGACAACAGAAACCATCATCTTTTTAAGTTCTACTGTTACTTATAAAAGCTTTGACTTACTTGTGAGGGACCAGAATACAAGATGTTCCTCAATATGCAGCCTCTAACATTAAATTTTCATAATGTATGTGCATGTTTTTAATAATAATTACAATTTAAAATGTGTCTATGGATTTTACTTGTTTATAGAGTAACACTGATTGTGTATTGATTGGTCCTCAGTTGTATTGTGCTCACAGATTGATACACGGAGAGCCCTGCATGGTTTGAGAATCCCTGCCCTGAGGCATTCCATTAATGCAGTGGCTCCATTCGCTTCGGTCATAAATAAAGCCCCTCTCAACATGAAAAAAACCGGATAGGTCATAGTGCAAATGGCCAAAAACAATCTAAATTAAAATGCTTAAGTGGGAGCCCCAGTGGCTCAATTGGTTAAAGCGTGCGCATCGTAAAGGCTGTGGCCTTCGTGTGAAGACCCGGTTTGATTCCGGCTCGGGTCATATGCCGCATGTCTTCCCCCATTCTTCTCCCCAACTTTTCTGTCTTTCTCTACTGTGTGACTATCAAAAAAAGGAGAAAATCCCAAAAAAAAATCTTAAAAAAAAAATGCTTAAAGGACCAGTGTGTAAAATGGGGGGAAACAATGACATCCAGCGTTCAGATTCTAGACTGCAGCGCTCACTCACTCACGCTCACGCTCAAAAGGACGGTGGCCTCCGAGGCCCAAAACACTTTTGCGGAAATGGCGTCTTCCACGACTGGGATTTATACATGCGAAACGCGTTCTCTAGCTGGCTGGATTGTCCGGTCGGGCTGCCGTACCAACATGGTGGTGCAAGATGGCAACATCTCTAAAGCAAGGCCCTTGCAATATGTATATATAAACGCATAACTATAAGGCTATGAAAACCAAACTAATTTTATTTTACAGCGATTATACACTTATATAAACATATTAATGGGTAGTATATTCAGATTTTGCCAATAAACCATGGCAAATATTACACAGTGGTCCTTTAAGTGGCAGAAGAGCAAAAGAGGAGATCAGACGATGTATCTATATGAAAAGAAAGCGCGAGTAGTTAGGAAATCACGGTGAATGGTCCGAACAACAAAACCGGTGCCCAGTGTCGATTCCGTCTTCCACGTTTCATGTTTCAAGTACAAGCCACGACTATCTTTGAAAAGCCATGGCTGTTTTCAAATACCACGATTGTCTTGCCATAACCCTGAAACCTAACCTTAACCGTTAGGAAGTAGTAACTTTAACCAAAGCCATGTTGTTTTTGTAACCGTTTGTTTTAGAAGGCACAGTGCTGCTGTTACATACAGTAATTGAGGAAGTGTTCCAATGGGTGGTATCAGAAATGGTAACTTTAAGTGAAAAGGAACGCCGCACACTGAGACTCCAAATGCAATAATTTATTGTGACAACATTTCGGCCCTGGGCCTTTGTCAAGTCTGGCGTATATGAGACATAAAGCAAAGTGCGTGGCTGATAATGCCTTCTGTGGGCAGTGCGCACACCTGGTGAGCACCAGACACTAATCATATGCATGTCAGATGACATTAGTCGGTTGACCCATATAAATAAATAAGTGCATTAAATACAATGTAAATTCACATTTCAGGTCAGACCCCATACATCGATATAGAAAAATTAGTAAATCCATGCAAGAAGAAAAATGTACAATCCAACCAGGATCCTAGTGGACACAATAGGCCTAGAATGCCTGGAAGTAGACACAATATATACAAGATATTTACAAAATAGAGCCAGATCAGCTGCTCATCAGCCCACTAAGTGACATCATTAGCCAACCCACAGGGGGCATCCAAAGAAGCTGTGCCTGGTCTATTGTACCAGGGTAGACACAAAATAGATTTGTATAGAGCGCAAAATCACAGAAAACACTTTAGATCATGATCAACATTGAGTATTCGAATAGTGTATGTACAGTGCCTGACAAAAGTCTCGTCACTTATCCAAGTTGTAGGAACAACAAATAATAACCTGACTTGTAGTTGATCAATTGGAATAAAAAATGGCTTATATGAAAGGCAAAGCCCTCTAGATTATGCGAAATATACCAAAATAGAGTTTTGTGTCATTGATTGAGTTTTATAATTTAATTTGTACAGAAAGGTCAGATTTTGCTTGGACAAAAGTCTTGTTGCATTGAAAAAAAATGTGGAAATTATACATACACTTTATTTTGAATACACAAATATGCCACTACAATATCAGAACATAAAGCCATCGTGCCTTGGAAAAAAGAATTAATATTGCGTATGACTCCCATGAGCTTGGAGGACTGCATCCATACGTCTTGGCAATGACTGAGATAACTTGATGATGAAATCATCTGGAATGGCACAGAAAGCAGTCTTGCAGGACTCCCAGAGTTCATCAAGATTCTATGGTTTCATCTTCCAAGCCTCCTCCTTCATCTTACCCCTGAAATGCTCAATAATGTTCATGTCAGGTGACTGGGTTAGCCAATCCTGGAGTACCTTCACCTTCTTCGCTTTCAGGAACTGTGACATGGAGGCAGAAGAATGAGAAGGAGCAGCAGTATAAGTAGGGCAGCAAGAACGTCTTGATATTTCAGGCTGTTGATGTTGCCATCCACTCTGCAGATCTTTCTCACCCCCCCATGCTGGATGTAACAACAAACCATGATTTTTCCTCCACCAAACATGATTGTTTTCTGGGAGAATCTTGGGTCCATGAGGGTTCCAACAGGTTTTGTACGGCGACGGGCATGCAGTTCAATGGATGATTCACCAGAAAAATGAACTTTCAGCCACTTTTCCAGTATCAATCCTTTCTGCCAGCTGTGGGCCTTGGCAAATGCAATGCAGGTTTTTTGTTTTCTGTTTAATGCAGACTTCTGTGTACTAATTTGGCTATGAAAACCACTCTGAGAGAGAAATTGACAAACTCTTCTTGTTGATATCGGGATTTTTGGTGACATTTCCTCATGTAGCTTCGCTGTAGTTGAAGAAGGGCTGGCCTTGTACAGTTGAAGCAACAAACGGTCCTTTCAAACAGCTGTCTTACCGAGTCTGTCTGACCTGCGCTTGCCATGAACGTAACCAGTTTCTTCAAATCTTTTTCTCATCCCCTCCACTTGACATTTGGATACATTAAAGATGTCTGCCACCTCAGCAGCAGACTCAGTCTTCAGGCTCTTGATGATCAGCACTTTGGTCTGTGGTTGAATCTTTGGTATGTTGTCAGAGGTCTAGTCGCACCTCATATGAAAGTCTGGTGTGCTGGGGTTATTTCTATACACATCTGGGAATGTGTTAATTACAGTATTTGTCATAGGTTAAACTCTAATCTGTGATTTGTTGCATCATCTGAAGAGACGACAAGACTTTTGTCCTCGCAAAAACAGATGTTATGGGCTTAGCCAAGCTGTGAACATCAGAAAACTTTTTGACGGTTTCATTTTGTACCAAATTATTAATGTGAAAGCCCTTGACATTAAAATGGACCATTTATTGTAACAATTGATTGGTTAGAAATAAAGTTCTATGCCATTTTTAGTTACTATGTCCTTATGCGACAAGACTTTTTTTAGGCACTGTAGACACGTTGTTATGATTCTGCTCTGTCTGTCTTGATTCTGCCATGTTCATTATTGTTCCTGCCATGCTTGTTATGTTTTCCCTAGTCCCTGTTATGTTTATGATTATGTCTGTTAGGTTTTGCCATGTTCTGTTTAGTTTTTGTACTTTGCCATGTTTTCGTTTTTGCCATTCCCAATTCACTAATCTGTTAGATTCCGGTCCATGTCTTTGTTCATGCCCCACATTGCACTTTGTCTCCCCTGTCTGGTATTTTGTTAAGCTACAGCTTCTCCCCAGTCCTGTGTGTCACATGCTTAGGTGATTTCATGGTTTCTGGGTTTCAAACATTCCTTCCAATCTCGTTTGCTTCCTTCGCCTCTTTTCTGTTTTACTAACCAATACTAACAGTTTGTTGTTTTTGTTAAAGTTACTAACCCAGACTAACATTGTATATAACACTAACTTATTAACGAGCACTAGGGATTGTATAGCTGCACTTACTAATTGATTAACAAGCTCTCAGCACTCGCCCTGTTCTAGTCTCCGCCTCTTGCCTGCACTTAGTCTTTGCTGCAATTCAGCGGATCCTCCGCACCTGCTCCACTCTGTCCTACCTCTCATTATCTGTGCACATTAGAACTCCCTAACCGGAGCTGTATGTCTTGTCATAGGCTGTCTCGTGTTCCCTGTCCGTGTTTTGGCTTTTGCCAATTTCATGTGGTTAGGTTCTCCCTTGTGTTTCCTCCCACGTAATTAGTCTGATCCTCATCACCTGATCCTAATCATAGCATGTGACTTCCCTTGAGTGTATTTAAGCTGTCTTCTCACTGCAGTTCCCCGTCAGAACGTTCCTCTTGTTTACCTGTGCTGCTATCATTTTCGCCTTGTACTCATAGTGTTACTCTTCTGACTGGACCGTCCGACTTACGATTTTGGCTCTGCTTTTTGGTACTATTGTCTGCATCTGTTTACGAGCCCTTTTTGCCCGACTACGAGTTTTGTGTTTGCTGCCCTGTTAACGGTTTGGATTACGCCCACTGGATTTTGGCTTTTGCTTCTCTGACAATCCTGTGCCTGTGTACCGAACCTGTTTTTGCCCGACCACGAGTACTGCGATTGCTGCCCTGGTTTTCGACTCTGATTCTGCCCTATTGGATTGTGATTTTTTTTGGATTGTGGACTTTGTACCTTTTTGCCTTCTGCCCTGCGGGGGTTTCCCCCCTCGCTTAATAAACTCATCTACTGCACTGCTTGGTTCTCGCGTCTGGTTCCTGAGCGTATCCTCACACACGTTCCCTCAGAGATAAGAGATTTTCTAGATTACCACCTTTTCTCAGGAAAGATCTTCTTCATATCTATATCTCAAGGAAGTTATAGGATGGTTGGCCTCCACTAAATGAGCAGCCACAGGAAAAGTAGGATTCTTGCATCTGATGGTACTATGCTGCTCTGCAATGCAGGTTTTTAGTTCACTGCTTGCAGGGGCGTAGGAGATATTTTCAAAGTGGGGGGGACCTAACTGTGAGCTAAAACCCAGATACCAAAATCAGATTTCCAGATACTGGACCACCACTTCTGGCCTGCTGTCAGGCCACCATACAGCCATCATATTTTAACCTTGCCTGAATATTAAGAGAATAACATTAATTGTTAGTAAAAATGAATGAAGAAGTATAAATGAATGATTTACAAGGTGTTTTGATCAAAATGGGCAAATCTGTAGGCTTTTTGTCAGTAACCTGCCTGTGGACCACCAATGAGCAAAATGCCAGCAAGAGGCCATATCTGCCCACAGTGGGCCAACAATGGTCCGCTGGCAGCTTGCTATGTGGGAGAGCTCAACTTTTAAGCTTATACAATTCTATTTTTTTTTTTTTTTTTTTTATTTCACATTGTTTCGACTAATGGATTAACACTCTAA